ACATCTTAAACTTATATAATGTCATTAAGCAGTGTAACCCCAATCAATTCAATTTAAAATAGAAATAACATTTTCTTTCCCTCTTTCACAATGAAAAGCTACACGCTTTATAATTTGCTTAGCAGTTTCTAAACTTTGAACTCATATGTACAATCTGTTCATTTCAGGCGTGATACCTGAAATTCTGTAAAGATTAACCACTGAATGCTTATATCATCTAGTTAATTGTTTAACTTTAGACTCATGCGTGACTAGAAGATCCAAATTGCATAGAAACAATTGTTATGATCATAAAATTTTTAGCTAAGAAGTTTTAACTGTCTAAATAAAATTGTGAAAATAAGATTTACAAAATTGCAGACATTAAGTTGAGGGTAAAGTGGCAATTTTCATCACAAAGTATTAATAGTGAAATATATTACAAGAATATGTTTTATCTTTTTATAAAGTATTTCACTACTATTATTTTATCTTAATCATGATTCTCTGAAGAAAGTAATATTTAACTTAGTTTTATATAACATTGTAGCACAAAAAGGTTATGTGACTTGGTCTTGACCCATGGTTGGCAAACTGTGGCTCATGAGCCACATGCTGCTCTTTGGCCCCTTGAGTGTGGCTCTTCCACAAAATACCACAGCCTGGGCGAGTCTATTTTGAAGAAGTGGTGTTAGAAGAAGTTTAAGTTTTAAAAATTTGACTCTCAAAAGAAATTTCAATCATTGTACTGTTGATATTTGGCTCTGTTGGCTAATAAGTTTGCCGACCATTGCCCTAGACCATCTGTATATATCTCCACCTTCTTCAGAAAATTGGTACTAAAAATGCAAAAAAAAATAAATAAATAAATAATAAGATCGGAATTCTGTTTCATTTTAATTGAGTTTATTTCAAAATAACAGGATGCCAATTTATTTTCAAAGGTCAACTTAAAAAAAGCATAAAATTATGGTTTGCAAAGCACTCATTTTCTTAGCTGGTGGATTCAAGGTAGAATTAAGCAACAGTTTTTATCTTATATAATAAAAGGGTAATATGCAAATTGATCCTAATACCAGAATGACCAGGAATGACCATCGATATCACTCATGCTGACCACCAGGGAGCAGACACTCAATGCAGAAGCTGCCCTCTGGTGTTTAGTGCACTCCCACAGAAGGAACTCCATTCAGCCACAAGCCTGTGTGACAGCTGCAAGCACATGGTGGTGGGAGATTCTCCCGCCTCCTTGGCAGCACTAATGAACCCTCAAAGCTGGCAGGTAGACATCGTCCAATGGCTCCCAGGCTGCCAGAGGAATGTCTGACTACTAGGTTAGGCCCAATCCTCCAGGGAGCGGGCCTAAGCCAGCAGGTGGACATCCCCTGCAGAGTCCTGTAAGAGGGCATAGGCCAGGCTGAGGGACACCCAAGTGTGCAGATTTATGTTCACTGGAATTCTAGTGAGTTAATAAATTGCTCCCTTGTAATAAGGGCACTGTGGTGTCATGGCACTGAATGTGAAGGTTGATTACAAAGAGTTGATGGAACCCTGGAAGTGCAGCTAAGTTGATTAGAACATCATCTCTATATGCCAAGGTTGTGGGTTTGATCCTTGGTTAGGGCACAAGGAAGAGTCAACCAGTGAATACCTAAATAAGTAGAACAACAAATTAATGTTTCTCTCTATTTCTCTCTCTTTTTCTTCTCTCTCTCTAAAATCAATAAATAAAATAATAACTTAAAAATCATAGATGGATTAATATCCTGTGATGTTTGTAGACTGAGTACCAGGCTAAAACAAGAAATAAAAGGAGATAAAGCGAATGGACTGAAGAAATAGTAAACAATAATAATAAATTAGGAAGCAAGAAGCATGTAAAAATAAAGTAAAAGGTTCAAGTCTTCGGCCAGGAATTTTACTCTGCATATCTCACCCACATGCCATGGTGCAGGCAGCTCAGATAACTCAGCTGCTCAGGCAAAGTGTGGTCCCACAGAGTAGGCTTTATTACCTTTCTGTTTCTGTTTTTGTTTCTGTTTTTGTTTCTATTCCAGAGTTTAGTCCTCAAATGGGGGAATGATACTGATCCCTCAGGATTATTACAAGGACTGAATAAAAAAAAACAACTATAAAGAGGCTAATGAATAAATATTAATATTTTTTAATAAGGAAAATTGAATTTTACTGGGATATGATGATAAAAAATAATTTATATATTAATTTAGGGACTTCATTTAGGGTTTAAAGTTAGCCCCAATGAAGCCTCAAAATGCTGATTCCAACAGAGTTCCAAATATAAGAAAAACTACCTTGGAAGTGTTTCTGCGTCTCATTGGAAGTGTTTCTCTATTCCCATGTAGTTGGAATAGGAGAGGAAAACCCTCTAGTAGCATATAATCTGTCATATTAAATAATTCAAGCAGCTATTTTGTGAATTCTTTTTTTTAAAATATATTTTATTGATTTTCCACAGAGAGGAAGGAAGAGGGATAGAGAGCTAGAAATGTCAATGAGAGAAAAACATAGACCAGCTGCCTCCTGCACAACCCCGACTGGGGATGTGCCCGCAACCAATGTACATGTCCTTGGCCAGAATCGAACCTGGGACCTCTCAGTCCGCAGACCGACGCTCTATCCACTGAGCCAAACCGGTTTCGGCTATTTTGTGAATTCTTATTAAACTGCCAATTTAGAGGAAAAATCTAAATGGCACTGCTCAACAATGGGCTGACTATGAAGATAAGATTTAGCCCCTCTCCCCCATCCCCCTACCTCCTTCGACTGTAGAATACAGTTCAGTAAGTAGACCAGCAACTAAATTAAGCCGTCCTAAGTAATGGGTTTATAGTAACACACACTTGACCCTAAGGCAGAAAACAGTTCATGGGGTTTTCAGAACAGCAAGGCACGCAGCCTCCCAGGCCTTCCACATGCTTTGCTGCATGAAAGGATTGAATGAGTGTCTAGACTGACTTATCCTGTCACCCTCTCAGGAACAAAAGCTGTTCCATCCCCAACTATATTTTAACAGATTCTTACTGTTGGAATCACTTCCTGCTTTAACAATCAGTGGTTCTGTCTGACTCTCAAAAATGAGTCACCCATGACAATTCTCCTTCTATGCTCTACTACTTTATTGCTTCTCTCTGTGATTCTTTTAAATTTTGCTCCTGTTTCTAACTGACTGAAGAACTGTATCTCACAGCTCATTCCTGAATGAATTTGATTACATGCTCAGCTAAACACCGTCATGATTGTTTGGCCAGAGCTTTCATAGCCAATTATTCACGGCCATTGACAAAACCATTGTCTTTAGTGGGTCAAGTGTCCAGGAGAGGTCTAATTAATGATGACCAGGCAGCTGATAATGTCAAGTGGCAGGATTAATAGTCATCTCTAGCCAGAAAGCAGCTTCTTTCATCAGAAAAAAAATATAGGTAGAGACCCATTTAGAATCAAGTTGTCAGCATGACTACCATGTTGGATCTTTCCCATCCACATAACATATCTAAATAAATACAGCACCTGAAGAATGCATTGTTTATTACTAGATGTGTGCTCATAAATTGTATAGGTGTTCAGAGGAGGAAAGACTATTTTAGCTGAGACACCACGGCAGTCCTCAAGAAAAAGCCACATTTGAGCTAGAACGTTGAAGCATGACTAGGATCTGAAGATGTACAAGGCAAAGTAGAACATTTTGGGGAAAGGGAGTGGCATAAGAAAAATCACAGAGAGGAAATTTTATGAAGAGAACAAATAACTTACATGGTCAGATTTTGAAAGAACCATCAAGATCAATGGTGAAATCATGGGCTTTTCTTCAGAAGCATAAACTGCAACAACTGAAAGGCATTACTGGTATCAAAACTAAAAACTATGCTCAGGTGAAGCTTAGTATCCTTGTCTGGGAACATAAAGGATGGCTCATCAGGGTGGACCATTGGCAGCTGAGAAAGAAAGAGGTCAAGTAAGCAGAAGAATGTAAGCTTAGAGGATAGGAAGAAGGTTTGTTTTGCTGGCATTGTATAAACTCAGACAAGTAATTCTTTATTGCCTAACTCTGTGTTGGAATAAGAGGAAGGAGATTGAAGAGTGGAAGAGAGATTATTAAATTAGTATTCTAAAGCCTTATTTATGTTTGTTTAGGTTGGTGCCTAGAAATTTTAGGTCTTAGGTACATTCTAGGAGAAAAATATCAAACATGTGTCTTCTGATCCAATTTTCCCTCGAGCTTAAATAGTCAAGAGCCAGCTTGGTATTTTCTTGGATGGTCAGTATTTATCTCAAATTTAACATTTTCTCAAAAGAACTCTGATTTCCCTCCTCAAATCTTTCTTCCCTCGATATTTCTTTAGGAGTTTCTCACAAAGCCTAAAGTTATCTGCTTTTTTTCTTTACCATAGATTTTCTAGATTTTTGTCCCCAAAATATATTAATAAATTCAGCTATTTCTTAGTAACTTTCCCCTGGACACATTTAAACTACTGTCATAATCCCCTGAACTCTTAAAATTGCATTAATTTACCTCTCATTTAAATAAATCACCAGAGAGCAGAAAAGGTGATTTTTTATTTAATGCCAAATGACATCATACCATTTTTCTACTCAAGATATTCCAATGTTTTCCAATTAAACTGAGAAAAATATCTAAACTTTCTGGCTTTCCAAGTTCTTCATGACTAATTTCTACCAGTGTCTCTCTTACATTACAGATAGTCACTAATTTGGTTCATTTTCCAGAAAATAAAAAGAGCAAGCATTTATTGAGAGTACCATTGCCTAATTCAAACTTAAAACATCCCTAAATGACTATTAATTTTTGGGTTGATACATGAGAATCACTCAGGCACAGAATTTAATGCTGTTTGGGTAACAATATTATTTCTGAGGTTGGGAAGATGGAACTCTTAGTTTAAAACATAAAGTGTTTTACTCCAAGGGCTAATTTTCTGCAGAAAATTATGGCGGCTTTACTATTTTTCATTTCTGTTTTCATTTTTAGAGAACAACTTGTAATGGATCCTTTACCTCATGAGTTACCAGCTGACACAGTGCGACGCGTGGCGTCTGAACTTCGATGTCTCCCTACCGATGAGAGGGTTGCCCTTCGTCTCGATGAGGAAGATAAGCTGAGGCACTTCAGGGAATATTTTCATATTCCCAAAATGCAGGATCTCCCTCCAAGTGAGAATACTAGAAAAAGTTTTATTTTCCTTAATCAATTTATTAATCTATTTTTATTATTGCATGTGTTTATCATAACTCTTCGAAAATCATTGTCCCATTATATAATAGAGCCATTAGAGCAATTGTCAGAAAAAGCAGGTTCCCAGTGCTACTGAATCAACTTGTCAGCCTACCCTTGCCTCAGATTCCTTATGTTTTCTCTTGTCTTCTGAACAAAACACTTACAGGGTGCTTTTACTGTCATCTACTTCTCTGAACAATAGACTGACTGAATGGAAATTATAGGCAGATGCATTTACTTGTTCTCTAAGCACTGTGAGTGCAAAAGAATTCCTTTTCAGTATATTATTAAATATCTTTGATTTTATAACACCTAGTTTATACCTTGATAGTTGCCTTAGAGAAAATGTCATTTTGGGATTTGGTATATTAGGATGGATTTTATGTGTGAATAAGACTTACCAAACAAAAATAAATAAATAAATGATCAAGAAATCAAAAATTAAAAATAATGGAGTAAACTGACTCTGTCCTTGGTTAGGGAGATGTTCTGTTAAAAACAAAAACAAAAACAAAAACAAAAACAAAAAAGAAACCACACAACAAAACACAGCCCACCCAGTGTAGCTCAGTGCTTGAGTGTTGACCTATGGAGGTCACAGTTAGATTCCCATGCATAAGCCTGGGTTGCAGGTTCAGTTCTCAGTAGAAGGTCTGCAAGAGGCAATTGATCAATAATTCTCTCTCATCACTGATGTTTCTACCTCTCCTCTCCTTTCCTTTCCTCTTTGAAATACATATATATATATATATATATATATATATATATATATATATATATATTAAATAGCAACTAGGTAGCACAGGTATCAAAATATAAAGCAATTTTTTGTATTTGGCTTTGCTCCATTTTACTTCTATGAAAAAGTCTACTACCGATAGGTTGAATGGAATTAATCCACCAAAATTGATTCCACACACTTTACAGTAGAGTCTAATTTCCTTTTTTTCTTGAGATTAAATGAGGCAGGTACAATTTTGGATATTCATAACCCAAGAGAATCAGCAGATATGATTTTAGGGTGAGATTGAGCCACATAGCTGTCTTTACTGGCTTCTTTGTTATTAGGTAACACAGGATGGCACCCTGTAGAATTACGAGAGGATGAAATAAGAGAAAGCCTTATATCTAACAGCAATCAGTGCTCTAGAATTAGTGCTCTAGAATTACTGAAAATTGTAATTTTCTCCCAATTAAATACAATTTATTTTACTCATTTTCATGAGTGACAAGAAAAACAGACACAACAAAATAAGTAAACAGAAGTAGTAACAAAAAACTTTCCAATAAGGGTGGATGGTGGTATTACAGAGAGAAGGAAGAGCATGGCAGAAGCAGTGAGGAGAGAAAGTGGTTCATTGTGCCTTCAGGTTGGGCTGAGTTGTCTGGGAGAATGAAGGGCCACATCTAGTCACATACTTATGAGCAGTGACCTCTTTCTGGACACGAAAGGTGATGCAGTAAGGGGTGGGTGTTTTTTACTTTCTTTTCTTAGGAGGCCTTTATTCTATACAATAGCATAAGGATTTGAGGTAAGACCCAACCCTGAATTTCCAGGAATAAAAAGCTTTTGAAAAAAAAGGGTATAAGGGTATATACATAAAGTTAAAATGATATGTTGGATTTTTTTTTCTTTTTCTGTTACTGAAGCTAACACTTATTAACTAACACAATTTATATCCTCATGTTGATTTCAGAGAGGAAGAGCAAGGGGGGAGATTGAAAAACAGAGAGAGAGAAAGAGTGAAATATCAGGGATAAGAAAGAATCATTGATCAGATGCCTCCTACACGCCCCACAATGGGGATCATGAGCCCACAACTTGAGCATGTGCCCTGACCAGCAATTGAACCATGACCTCCTGGTTCATAAGTCAATGCTGGTTGGGCTGGGGATGATGTTTTAATAGAAGAAACCACCAAATCACAAAACTCAGCAGAGCGTGATCCCACCTTTCCATGATAGATTCAAGTTCTATCAGATTGCATAAGGAGATATTTCCATACAACTTAAAAATCTTGTCTAAACTTTCAGATTAACAAATAGATGTATTATATTCAAACCTGCAGAATGGACCTTAATTGCCATGGTGTTGCTGTCATTACTGACCCCGATTCTTGGAATTCAGGACTCATTCTCAGGAAAATATGGTGTTTACATATTTTATAGCCATCCTACTTGAAGAATTGCATTTTAAAAATGAAGATCTTGACATTTGAACCATTTTATTTAGAACCAGCTATTAGCCAAAGTGATATAATACACAAAGAATAAATAGAAAATAAACTTATATAAACCATTTCTGAAATTCTAGCCACAATAAAAGTCTGATGGCAACTTATAATTAGCTTTGTTCCAAGAAAAATGTTTATCTTCTTAAATTTCAACCATCTGCCTTCAAGTCCCCAACTGTACAGAGTGACTTCTGTACAGAGATGATAACCAAAATTCCAATAAGGATAACTAAGTCCTTGCATCCTTATTGCTGTAAGACATAATATATTATTTGAAAATAAAAGTTGAAGTATTAAATTAAAACTTAAATGAATAATTGAGAAAAAATTTAAACTATTCTTTATTTAAAAAGTAGTTTTGAATGACACAAAAATTTGCATCACTACCCCCCAGAGTTTCTAAAATTAGGCATTGTCAAAGCGTGTAGCCTCCTGACCAACTGCCTGAGGATCACCAGAGATTTTTCTAGAACTTGCAAGTTCTTGGGTCCCACCCCTGAATTACTAAATCAGAGGCTTTGACAGGAGTCCATTCTAGATCACTGAGAATGGTGTGATAGGTAGTTGGATCAATTAATTCTTACTCTCACTCTAGGTGATTATTATTCTCTGAGGGTTCATCCTTTCAACACCTTTGTAGGCATTTCTCTGTCCATGCAACTATTTTCAGGACAGTTTATCTGTGAACTAAAGAACACGGTTATCACATGCCTGAAGTTTTGTTGAGGTATGAGGAGACAGATAATAAACACCCTTACAAACAGTAAGTAATGTACTTACTGTGAGTGTTTGGAGAGCAGCTGGGAGAAGTGTTATTTTACCAGGGTAGTCAGGGAAGGAAACACGGCAGAGATGGCAACTGCGCAGAGTGTGCCCCATGGGCACAGAGGTGAAGATGAGCTGATGGCTACTCAAGTTTGTATTGCACAAGAGCATCAGACTCAAGGATAGTTGATGTTGAAATTTCTTTTTTTGTCAAGATAAGACTACACCACCAGTAGCTTATTAAAACCATCTAAAAACATTTAAAACTGGCGGGGCTGGTGCGGCCAGGCCCGGAGCAGCGGCTGCCAGGCTGGGAGCGGCCAGGCCCAGGGGAGCAGGCGGGGCGGGTGCGGCCAGGCCCGGAGCAGCGGCTGCCAGGCTGGGAGCGGCCAGGCCCGGGGGAGCAGGCGGGGCGGGTGCGGCCAGGCCCGGAGCAGCGGCTGCCAGGCTGGGAGCGGCCAGGCCCAGGGGAGCAGGCGGGGCGGGTGCGGCCAGGCCCGGAGCAGCGGCTGCCAGGCTGGGAGCGGCCAGGCCCGGGGGAGCAGGCGGGGCGGGTGCGGCCAGGCCCGGAGCAGCAGCTGCCAGGCTGGGAGCGGCCAGGCCCGGGGGAGCAGGCAGGGCGGGTGCGGCCAGGCCCGGAGCAGCGGCTGCCAGGCTGGGAGCGGCCAGGCCCGGGGGAGCAGGCGGGGCGGGTGCGGCCAGGCCCGGAGCAGCGGCTGCCAGGCTGGGAGCGGCCAGGCCCAGGGGAGCAGGCGGGGCGGGTGCGGCCAGGCCCGGAGCAGCGGCTGCCAGGCTGGGAGCGGCCAGCCCCGGGGGAGCAGGCGGGTCGGGTGCGGCCAGGCCCGGAGCAGCGGCTGCCAGGCTGGGAGCGGCCAGCCCCGGGGGAGCAGGCGGGTCGGGTGCGGCCAGGCCCGGAGCAGCAGCAGCCAAGTCCAGAGCAACTAGGTCGGGAGCGGCAGTGACCAGACCCGGAGCAGCTGGTTGTGGAATGAACCAGAGCAACAGAGGCCAGGCCCTGAGCAGCCAGGCCCAGAACAGCTCACTCCTTGTCTGCCCCTGCCCCACGGCTGCTTCTCAGACATGGCTGGAAACTTTCGTGGGAACTTGAGGGTCTGCTGAATCAAGTGATGAAGGCTTAGATCTGAATGTGTTGAGTTAGTTTAGGACTGGGGTGTTGATCTGTGAGTGCCTTGGGTGGGGCCTGGATGAGGCTGGTTGACCTAGTGGGAAATGTCTTTTGTGTGAAGTGTATCATTGGGCATGTGGAGGTATTATTGATATGAGAAAATGCTAAGTAACTGATTTACTATCTGAAAAGGGATTTACTATTGGGGAAATTGAGGGAAGAAGAGACTGAACATAAACTGCACCTATGGATGAGGACAATGGGGGATGGGGGGGGGGACGGAGGGTGGGGTGGGAACCTGGTGGAGGGGGGAAGAAATGAGGAACCTTTGTAATAATATGAACAATAAAGATGATTTAAAAAAATAAAAATAAAAATAAATAAAAACATTTAAAACTGATATTGTATTTCAAACTATTGTAAAAGACTAGCATAATATCAAGAACAAATGTTCTTTAAGAACTCTGAATAATGAAAAAAAAAGAACATAAATAAAAAAGTTTTGGGCAAGTGAAAGAATCACAACTCCCAACATAGGCTTTAGAAAAATACTAAGGAGACGCTATAGGCATAGCCTGTAGTTTTCTGATATTTTGCCATTAAATATTAAGTTTACTGTAGATTTCTAATAGAAAGTTTTACCAAAATAAGTAGGTTTTTCTCTATTCCTGGAGGGTTTCTGAGTTGTTATTAGAGAAAAGGTAAACAATATTTTTACTCAGCTTTTGTTGGGCTTATGTTCAGCATTATTCTGAAGACCACAGCCAAAACAGAGAAAGAGATTCTACACTGAGTGGCCAGATTATATGAC